TATTGATAATTATGAGTTCAAGATAACAAGATGGACGAATACTACCCACACTTTAACATCAACAATTAAGCATTATATCTTTCACTTCCTTCAATTCAATTTTAGGTATATTATGTCCATTATATAGAACAATTAAAAGTGCTTAAATCTTAAAAAAAAGAAAAAAGAAAAAGAAAAAAGAAAAAAGAAAGAAGAAAGAAGCATTTACTATCTAAAATAACAAAAGAGCTGGAGATCCGGGGATAAAATCCAGGGATTTAGTCCAGTCACCTCGGCCCTCGATATAAAAGGGGCAGGCCCTGCATGTGTGAAGATCCAGGGTCGAGGTGCTACCACCTCGACCCTGAAACGGAACCCAGGATTTTATGGTTCTGAAGCATTAATCCTAAAATAATCATAAAAATCTACTTTCAATCGAATGATATTATCTATGATCACTAGTGTCCATCGCACGTTTATGTGTGGCCTAAATAGCGTTACTCTGCTGTAAAATCAAATTAACTTATTTTGGGCCTACTAAAAATTTGATGTCACAAGAAATAAAGATTCACAAAGTGCAAAAAATTGTGAATAGATAGGACAAGCATTATGAGCAGCTCCTAGTCTCTGACAAGACGAGTGTGTGCGCGTGTGTAATTAAAAGGACTGACCGGCAGCGTAAACTTCGGGCGTCCATGTGATTTTCGACCACCCGCCCTATCCGGGCTCTCCCAATAAAGCTAGGGTTACCCTACCAAGTACCAACTTATACTCTATCTCTCAAAGAGGATATAAAAACAAACAAGACACAAGAACCACAATTTATATATCATGTAATAAGAATCTAGATTAGTTATTTCGATGTTGCTATTTCCTCGACCATCTCTCGATTATAGTTTTGGTACATCGGCATATCACCTCTTCATAATAAATGGGGGACACTGACATCTCCCCACTTGATATGAAGAGGTGATGTGTCGAACTGTCGAAAATATAATTGGTGGAATATTTTGAGCTCCATTAATTCTAAAATAAATTTTTTCTCTTATTTTCAATCATATATTCTCTAATAAAATAATATTACATGTAAATCTAAAAGTCTTCATTATTTTTTCAATCTTGCTATAGTACTTAATGATAGAGAGTGACATATATTAATATATGATTAGATAATTTGAAAAAAGATAAAAGATAAAAAAAGACACACAGAGAACATTCAATCACCATCTGTCACACCACCCTGTCACCTCCATCCCTGTTATTGCCCCTATCCTTGAACGTTATTCTTTTTCTTTTTTTTTTTTAAACACAATTCTCCAAAAAAAACTCTATTCCAAAACCCATA